ATTCAAGGTGATTCTATCTTATAAAGCCTAAGTGATAATCACATTTTATTACAGTTTTATACCCTCATTATCTATTTTACATGAATAAATATACCATTAATAATTGTTGTTAGATTAGTTTGCACATAAATGAATGGAAATATAAATAAATATTATTAAATGTAAAAACCCCTTAAAAATCTCTCTTCTCTATTTTGTAGCATTTTTGAAGCCCAAAGCCTATCAAGAAAAATGATTACACCAAAGACTTGGTGGACTTGGATGCAAAAAGTGGAATGGAATGGACTTTTGTGCAAAGAGTACAAAACCAGGACCTGCGGACTTCATTGCTGCAAACATTGGGCCGTTCTTTGCTCTTGTAATTTGATTTTCAAAATCAAATGGGCCAAAGAAATGGATTTTGATCAATCATGTGAAGTGGGCCGGACTGCTGCATGTGTTCATTTTTGAGCCGAAAATCATATTCCTTGGACCATGGACTGCTGCATTGTTCATTTTGACTCAAACTGCTGGAGATGTGGATTTGCAGCTCATCAAGTTTGATTTTCAAAATCAAATGCAACCGGACTTGGACAAGTGGCAGCAGAGGTTGGAAGAATTAACTTCATTATGGGCCGGACTTGCTTGTTTTTCATTTGCATTTTGGGAAAATCATCATGGGAAGCTTCATTGGGCCGAACTACTATGCTTGACTTCATTTGTTTGTGAAAATCATATGGATTTTCAAGTTAAGCTCATTGGGCCGAAAATTGATTGTTGCAAAATTGGATTTTGATTTTCTTTTGAAAATCAAATAAATCAAAGGTGGAGATTGTTGCTTGGGGCTCAAGACAAATCCAATGGCTCATATTCATTGAAGATTACTATAAATAGGGGTAGAGAGTGAGGGGTTAGAGGTGTGAAAATTTTGTAAACTCCTTTTGGAGAGGAGGGCTACTCTTAATTGAGAAGGCCTTCCAAAAATTGTAACTTTAGTTGCAATTAATAAAAATAATTTTTTCCTCTTTAAATTTGTTCTTTCTCCTCTTGTTGAATGATGAGGATGGAGATGAAGAGCAATTTGAAGGTTTGCATTTCTTTTCTCTTTTATTTCTTTTTAGTAATTTCTTTATTATTGCTTATTAGTTAGATTTAAATTCATGCTTGTAGTATAGATTTACTTTCTTGTCTTTTTTATTTTCTTTTTGCACTTTAATTTGTAGAGTAGATTTATTTTTCTTGCATTTAATTTCTGCAATTTATTTTGTAGTTTAGATTTTTATTTTCTTTGTAATTAGATTTATTTCTTGTTCATAGTTTAGATTTTTCTTTTCTTTTTAATTTTGTAATTAGTCTTCTTTTTCTTGTTTTTATTTCTTAAGATGTGAATTTAATTCTTGTAGGAATCTTAGAATTGTATGAAACTAGTCTAATTTCTTTTATATTGTATGAATTATTCTCTTGCACTTAAAATGTTCATGTTTAGGATAATCAACTAGAGAACTAATCGGTAGAAGAAGAATTTGATAATCTATGCTTATCTTAAATGGTTTGATAGGTTATGCTTATGAATTCTAGGATTATTATCATGTTGTTGTTCTTATCATGAATAGTAATTTTAGCTTAGATGATAATTTGATAGGTTACACTTTCCTTAAATAGTTTGATAATCTATGCTTAATAAATCTAAGTTGAAATATGATAAAAAGAGAATAGTTTATATTTTGTAATTGAAATTGGTTAGTGGATTATATTCTAGATTTCTTACTTCTTTTGAATCCTCCATCTTGACTTTCTTAAATTTTCTTTTCATTCTTGGTTTTATTTCTTGATTTTATTCATTCATCTTTCTTGCCTTGTGATTTCATTTATTCTTTAATTCTTCCTTCTCTCCTCTAAAATTCAATTTATTATCTTTCGCAAATATTCACAACAATCACTCATCACATTCACACTTATTCTTTATTCCTAATTGTCACGCACAAAATATAAGAACCAAGTTTAATAATCTCTTAAAATCACCTTCTTCGTGGGATCGATATCTTTTTATACTATAACTTGATAAATTGTGCACTTGTAATTTTTGGTACATAATTATGCCGCATCAGATACGACAAGGCAAGCAAACGGTGCGGGTTTGACGTCACATGAAGCAGCTACTACGGGCAATATTTCTACCACCCGACTATCAACAAATCCTCTACAACCAGTTCGAGCAATGTCGTCAAGGAGTCAGATCAATAAGCGCCTATATCGAAGAGTTCTTTCGTCTTCTCGTTGTGATTTGTCTATGAACGAGGAACAACTCGCAGCCAAATATATTGGTGGTTTAAGGTATTCGATTCAAGAGAAGGTGGTCATCCACAACGTGTACTCTGTGGATGAAGCCCACAATATGGCTCTAAAGGCGGAAAATTTGGCCTCCAAGACACCACCTTTCAGGCGAACCGATCAGGAAATTTCGGCCGAGAAGGCAAGAGGTGAGTCGATAGGGCCAAGGATAACTGATCGGTCTAATCCTCTACGATCAGCCAAACGGTCGACGAATCAACCACCACCCCAGACGACTCAATCAAATCAGTATGCCAAGCCGACCGTAGGGAAGTGTTTCCGATGTCTCCAACCAGGGCATAAGTCCAACGAGTGCCCGTAGCAGCGAAAAGTCAATCTTTTCTAGGTGTTTAGTCAACAACAAGGTGTGCACCCTCATCATTGACAATGGAAGCTATGAGAATATTGTGTCAAAGGCCTTGGTGGATCACTTGAAACTACCGACAGAGACAAAGCATGTGCCTTATACCATAGAATGGATCAAGAAGGGTCCCTCCGTGAAGGTGACCGAGTTGTATCACGTGCCATTATCACTGGAAAAGACCTATAATGATTCTATTACTTGTGATGTTGTGGATATGGATGCGTGCCATGTCTTGTTAGGATGGTCGTGACAGTATGATGTTGATGCTAAGCATAGTGGCAAGAAGAACGAGTACTCTTTTGTATGGATGAATAAGAAGATCATCCTACCACTTATTCCACCCTCTCTAAAGAACCCCAAGGATCAAAAGTCCAAATGTATATCTCTGTGCAACAAGGGTGAGTTTCTGGCCGAGTCAAAGGAGTTAAAGCAGAGGTTTGCCTTAGTTGTGAAGGAAGAAGTAAAGACACCCATTGAGGTCCCAGGGAAGATGAAGTCGCTGCTTAGGGAGTTCGAAGTGTTGATTCCTAAAGAGCTGTCAGAGGGTCTTCCTCCCATAAGGGATATTCAGCACCACATTGATTTCATCCCGGGGTCAGTACTTCCTAACCTTCCACATTATCGCATGAACCCGCAAGAAATGAAGGTTTTACAAGACACCATTGAGGACCTTATTAAGAAAGGCCACATCTGAGAGAGTATGAGTCCATGCGCAGTTCCAACACTGTTGACACCAAAAAAGGATGACAGTTGGCGGATGTGTGTGGATAGTAGGGCCATTAACAAGATTACAATTCGGTATAGGTTTCCAATTCCTTGGCTAGACGACATATTAGATCAGTTGGGGGGCGTGAGCATCTTTTCAAATGTCAACTTGAGGAGTGGATATCATCAGATCCGAATCAGACCCGGCAACGAGTGGAAGACCGCATTCAAGAGTAGTGAGGGACTCTACGAATGGTTAGTGATGCCTTTTGGGTTGTTGAATGCTCCAAGCACCTTTATGCGTTTGATGAACCAAATTCTAAAGCCTTTCTTGGGAAGGTTTGTAGTGGTCTATTTTAATGACATTCTCATCTATAGTCAGGATGAGTAGGAACATATGCTGCATTTCCGAGAGGTCTTCCAAGTGCTAAAGGAGAATGAGCTTTACATCAACCTTAAGAAGTGTATGTTCTTGACGACTTAGCTTGTGTTCTTAGGATTCGTGGTGAGTTCGCAAGGAATTCAGGTCAATGAAGATAAAATTAAGGCAATCAGAGACTGGCCGACTCCAAAAAGTACTACTGAAGTAAGAAGCTTTCATGGACGAGACGAGATTAAGTAATGGACGAGACAAAGGAACAGGCTGACGAGACGACGCCAGTGGACGAGACGACATCAGCGGACGAGACGAGTTCTCAACTCGACGCAAGCCTGATGAGATGAGTAGACGATTTGAGGTGACAAGACGAGACGACATGTCTAGTCGATATGAAAGGCGGTACTAATCGACACGCCTCGTGTCGACTCAAATGAAGCGAGACGACATATCCAATTGACACGAAAGGCGGTGCTAATCGACATGCCTCGTGTCTCGACTCGAATAGCAGATTAGGAAAGATTCATTTTTTTGGTTATTTTCTTTTAAATTCAGACTTTCTTTTTTATAAGGGTTAGGATAGACTTAGTTGGCTATAAATATTAGTTCCTTTTGTAAATCGGGGAATTAACTTTTCAATTATTCAATCAAGAGAATTTTTCTTTATTGTTTTCTTTCTCAAGTTTGAAAAACTTCTTGCTTGTGGATTCAAGCTCGTGAATTACCTGTTATTGTTAGGGCTCGTCGGCATCGGAACGATATCTGATCGGCCTCCTCATTTCTATATCTACGTCAGACCCAAGCCAGTAGAACTCCAGGGGGCACTATCCGCAATTGGTCTATAGTACAGAGAATATATCGGCAACTAACCGCTATAATTTCTATGTGACATTCATCATGTGATTCTTAGATAGCATTTCAAGCAGATAATAGGTGTTATAGTTAGACCTTGTCTTCTAATCACCAAGTGTAGTTCTTGATTATTTTATGGGGTTTTTGCTTTTAGACCCATTTGTTTACTCCTATTTATCTTTAAACCCAAGTATTATTATTTGTATCTTTAAGCCTAATTTACTTTTTGTATTTATCTTTAAACTCAATCTCCAAAATATTATACTTTCACCATTTGTATTTATATAGAATCCCCAAACTACCCCTTGGCGCCGCATATAAACTTAGGGGTTAAATCAGGCGAAGATTTTTTCTCTCCCAACTTACCCCCCCCCCCCCCCCCCCCCCTTCATTCTCTGAGCGGCTTGGACATGGGCATTTAGACGCATCTCCCATTTCTCCCGCGCTCTGACCAGGTCCACGTGGCGCTCACTAGAGTCAGCTCCTCCGCCCTCAGCTCTTCTCGCGCTCTCACCTCTCCAAACCCAAAAGATCCGGACTTCTCTCAATCCAAACGTAAGGTAAAACTTCAGATTGATTCCGTAGTTATAGAGTTATTACTGTTTACTAAACTGGGTTTGATTGATTTTTAGATTTGCGTAGTAGTTTGGAGTTGATTGGGTTGGGGTGGATTGGGGTAGCTTCTTAAATTTGCACTCCTCTCATTTCTAATGCCAGTCAAAATCTTCAATTGATTGCGCGGTTGTAAAATTTGAGCTGTTTGCTGAAGTGGGTTTTAATTGGTTTTCTGATTTGTGTTGTAGTTTGGAGTTGATCGGGGGGAGATTGTGATCATGGTCAAGCCAAGCGTTGGTTGATGTCCCGAGAGCTGCTGCTGTGGTTGATGTGCCTCTGGCTCAGACTGGAGAAGGGATCGCAGAGTGCGAGCTACTTCAGTGGTTTGTTCAGGAGGTGAGAGTTCTGGGCTCTTTGATTTCAATAGTAAAAACTCTTTTTAGTAGAAGAGGAGAAGTACACTAGCTTGAATAAGGAGTTGACCGGGTGATTTCAATTGGCTATGATGCAAATGGGCCATTGTTAGCAGAATACCTATATTGCTTCCTACTGCAGATTCTACCACAGATTATGTTGTTAATTGATTTAACACGAACGCTCAAGTGAAAATTAAAGACAATCTATTTATGGAAACTCTAGTCTCTATACATGTCACACACGCTATCCGAAACCCTTCCACTACATTAAAACTCCAAAGCCGTGGTGACGGTTAAGTGTTATAATTTTACACTGTAACTGTAAGAATGTTTGATGGAGAAATATGGTGTTAAAAAAAACTTTTTCGTAAAAACTCAACTTCTTTGATTGCAATTGTATATAACCCTTTTAGTAGAAGTATATGTTGTTCTGAATAAAGCTGATTGGTTTCAGTTGGGTATGTTGTGATTTGGGTTGGACGTGGATCAAAAATTCAAAATGATAAAAATGGGTTGTTTAGTATAATCCATATACTGCTTCTTATTGTGGACTATACCATAGAATATGATGTTAATTTACGTTAAGAGAACAATGTTAATTTGGGTTATTTCTACCATTCTCGATGCTTGGAATTTAGATATTACTTCTTGTCAGGAGGTAGAAAGTGTTGATATACCTCAACAACGTGGGTTAGTATATTCGACTTATTCATATGTTGTTTTTTCATATGTGCTAATGCATAACGACCATATATTGCGGGCCAAGAGTGTTATATTGATATTGCAAACATTTGAACTTGCAGTAGCTTGGATTGTGGGGTGTTCTTGATGGCATACATGTTTAGCCTTGTTTCCGGTCAAACTATTTCAATTGACCAAAAGGATTGTGCAAGACATAGAGCTCGTATCGTTGCTCTATTTCTATCTGAAGGTATATTTTCTATAAGGGTTGTGCAAGACATGAGAGGAGTACAAATGGTGAAAGTATAATATTTTGGAGATTGGGTTTAAAGATAAATACAAAAAGTAAATTGGGCTTAAAGATACAAATAATAGTACTTGGGTTTAAAGATAAATGGGAATAAACAAATGGGTTTAAAAGCAAAAACCCCTTTATTTATTTATTCATTACATGGTTTTCCTTTTAATTTTAACTGACACGAAGCTGGTCCTTTCCTTTAGCTGTTAAAATGCAAGGAAGATTCTCAATTGTCCATCCGGCCCGGCCCGGAAAATCGGGCCCAGGCTGGGCAAAACGGAGCCCGGACCCAAGCGGGCCGGGCCCCGGGCCCAGCCGATTTTTTTATTATTTAATTTTTTTTTTAAATTTTGAAGAATACAATTCCAAAAATAAACACAATCTTGATAAAAAATTTATATTATTAATCAATTATAATTATGTAATTTATAAATATAAAAAATTATAGAAATTAAAATAATTATAAAATTTGTAGAAACAAACAAAATTAAAAATAATTGTAGAATTTAAAGGTCAAATCAAAGACCTCTAAATATATATGTAGTGGCTAGGATTTGAACCACTAACCTACTCTCAAAACTCCTAAATTTTACCACTAGACTAAGTAGCCCAAAGTTTTCATGTCATTCAATATATGTATATGTATATATATACACACACACACACATATACATATATTATACATAAACAAATTGTAAATACTTATAGTAATTACATAAACAAGTTGTATTATACATAAACATATATATATAATTATGATACTATAATATATTATAATATATATAATATAGTATATATAATATAATATATATATACTAATTATATATATATTGAGATTTATGGAGGCTCTTGACATAGGGGGGAATTATTCCTTCTATGGAGCTGATAGTGGCCAGTCTGCAGCCCTGATCTGAATATCATGGTTTTAATCAATTCTGCTGAGATTTATGCAAAAGAAACGCTCGCGTTGAGATTCTCAACTCAGCTTGTTGATGACCCATCGAGAAACGACCCCCACACGCCTCCACTCGTAGAATTCTCTTCTCCATCTTCTCCCCAATATTGAGCAACCCCCCCTCGTGCGCTCCCCGTCTCTCGGACGACGATGCCAGAATCCTCTGCCACCGGTCAACAGCCCCAATCGTCGAAAATTCTCCTCTCTCTCATCTCTTTATTCCCTCTCTCTCAATCCTCTCTCTCTCTCTCGCAGATCTCATCTCTCTCTACTCTTTGCGTCCATTGAAACCCGAAGCACCACCAAAAGACACTCCCGATACTCCTCAATTGCGACGGGTCCGCTCGGCCGTCGCGACCCCGCGGCGACTAGCGCCCTGCTCCTCGGCTCCGTGGTAGGGAAAGCGAGACGCACGAGCCCCTCTCTTCTTCTCTCCCGGTCGAGAACGAATCGCAGAGAATAACGCGACGACATCGAGTACCGATGAGGACAGCAATACTATTTCCCTGCATTCTCACCATACTACACACTGGGCCACCAGATTTAAATGTGCGCTTGTTGCACAAACTCTAAAAATTTTTTTGGCTGTTTTACATCCTTTTTCGATTGTGACTCTTCAATTCCTGACTTGTACCTGCTAGCACCTCTTGGACGACCCTTTGTTTTGACTGGGCCACTAGGATCACGAATTAAAATTTCTTAACCATCTCTCAATACTACATTTGCATTTGAACTAATTTGGCTTTCAATTTGAGAGTTTGCAATATGAACGTCATTAAGCTTTACTTCATTCTCAACTGATACAGTGATATCTTGTAGCATTCTCTCCACCATAGAAATGGCATTTGCTGAACATGAAGCCATCTCAAGGGTAGCATTGAATCTGGCTCGAATTGCCCACAATCTAATAATATTACACTGCTCCATACTACCTTCATTGCTTCTTACATCCATATCATTAAAAAATCTAATGTTTTTGTGTCTTACATCAATTTTCCATCTTTACAATATATAATTATCAGGAATAGCTGTCAACTGAAGAAGCCATATGATATGCAATATATGCCTACAAAGGATCCCATCGGTTTCAAAAAGTGCACAAGAGCATTTGAACTTAAGCTCTTTAGATTTGTCATATGTAACTTCTTCCCATTTATCTTTTTCTTCAGAAAAATCTCCAACTAGATAAATTATTTTTGGCTCTTCCTTTAGCATTTCTTCATGAAAAAGTGATAACCCATTAGTAAGCTCATCTTGAAACATTTTGAAGATCCCCCTAGTATATAACTTGCTAACTTGCACTTCAATTGGATGTCGAAGCAACATTGCAGGCACGGTATTCAATGTCATAAAGTTTTCTCGAGATTCAGATGCACGGCGATTTGGTAAGGCTTTGTCATATTGGCATACAAAGTCCACAAGCCTAGTCTTTGTATTTACATAACCATCAAAAAATACATTGATACTTTCACTTCTCTGACTAGTTGTCATTCCTGCCCAAAATATGTCTTTCAAATATGCATCCACCCAATGTGCACGCAATCTATACATCCTTGTCAGCCAACTATCTACATTCTCATCTATATTAAATTTCTCCTTCAAAATCTTCCATCGTTCCTCACAAGCATGAATAGTGCTAGCTCGGTACCACTTATCAAAATATGTAGAAATCTCATCTCCATATTGTGCTTTCATTGGAAGTTGCTGCTCGGCAATATGTCTGCCAATATGCCAAGAACAAAAACGATGTCGGGTATTAGGAAAAACTTGTTTGATAGCTCCTCCTATTTGTGCATCTTGATCGGTGATAATTGCTTTTGGTGCAACCCCATGCATGCATTTTAACCATTGGGTGAACAACTAAATAAAGGTATCCTCTTGCTCATCTGCAAGTAATGCACAACCAAAGAGAATGGACTGCCGATGATGATTTACACCTGTGAATGGAGCAAACGGTAGGCTCAAATGATTGGTTTTATATGTGACGTCGAACACCAATACATCTCCAAAACTTAAGTAAGAAGATCTTGATCTCCCATCAGCCCAAAAAACACTCCTCATAGTCCCCGACTGATCCAGCTCTATGGAAAAGTAAAATTCTGGATCGATTCCCTTCCTATCTTGAAAATTCTTTATGATGGATATGCATTCATTGTCAATGTTGTTCTTCCTAATAGTTCTAATGTGATCAATACATTGTTGTGCAGTAATATATTCTTCATGAAAACTCTTAGACACAACATTATACACTCGAGCAATAGTAGAAGGAGCCATTCCTTCTTCACTCAAATTCTCAATAATTCTCTTGCAAGTCTTCGAGCGATGCCTTTGCCTGTGAGAATAATGATTCCACACTTTATTAGGGCTCAATAATAGATGAGTTGGGTGCTCTCCCTCAAACTTCATGACAATCCATGTCTTGGAGGAAGTCAACTTAATCTTCATTCTTGCGGGACAATCCACTCTAGTATCTGGACGGCGATTGACAAGTTTCCCACACTCTCTCTTATCGGATAACCTTTTTCTCCCTGCCTTGTTGCAAACAAAAACTTGAGAAATAATTTCTCCTGACTTTCTTGACTTATCGGCTGTTTCCTTACGGATTCCAAAGCCTATTTTTTGCATAAGAATTGTAATAATTGTATGCCTCCTCCAATGTAGCAAATTCTTTTCCCTCGTATGGCGCCTCTCCTATGAAAGTCATCTCATTCGGGCCTACAAGAGCTGTATGCAATTCCCCATCAACATCCATGAGATTTTGGGTATCATTTTCACTTAGTCCAATGGGTAGCACATTATCTGTTTCAACATTCACTGTCCTCTCGTAGCCCTGAAACAATTATCAATGTGTTACAAACTTCGAGAAATTATATCCTAATGATGCAAGTCTATAACCATGAGAATTACTCGACTAGAAACACCTAGTTTATACTAGAATGGTTTGATTTGTGGCAGAAAAGATTTTATTTTGTTGGTTCGGGCTTTGTATCTATTAAGTGCAGAACCTACAGGTATAGCTTGTCACTGGTATACTCTCCAAAAAACACTTTGCATGACTAGAAGTAGATCTTAAATAAAGTTAAATAGGTAACATTCATGATTCATGTTTGCTGAATGCGCCACAATTTCAAAAAACCAAATTATCAACCTTATGAGCAATTACATAAGGACTATTTTCGTTTGAAAAGTGTCGCAGGTATTTTACTCGTGCTGAGATTACTTATTTCTCAGTCATACTAGGCCATACAGACAGTTTATCGTATAACTCGGGAATTTTCACTATTTACCTTAAATTTGCAACACAGTGGTAAAAAATTTAATAACATATCAAACCAGATGCACACGGAAGAAACTTATTCTATTTCCTAACCACGACAATCATAGCATTGATGATATTCTGGACTTACCGCTAAATAGGTAACATTCATGATTCATGTTTGCTGAATGCACCACAATTTCAAAAAACCAAATGTCAACCTTATAAGCAATTACATAAGAACTGATTTCTCAGTCATACTAGGCCATACAGACAGTTTATAGTATAAATCACTCCAAAAATACCCAAATTGAGACTGTACCAAAAATACCTGTGTCGGCATCAGTCGCGAGAGAGGAAGAAGTGATGGACCTTCGACGGGGGAGCTCGGCGTTGGTGTCGACATAGGGAGGAGGGAGGGCGTCGGTCTCGACAGTGGGAGGAGGGAGGAGGAGGGGTTTGTCGTCGGCGTCAGTCTCTACAACATGAGGCGGGAGGAGGAGGGGGCTGTCGTCGGCGTCAGTCTCGACGGCGGGAGGCGGACCCTCGCAATGTGAGGAGGGGATCTGGAGGGTTTGGCGGTGGGAATTTGGGGAGAGAGAGAGAGAGAGAGAGAGAGAGAGAGAGAGAGAGAGAGAGATGCAGCGGCGGCGAGTGGATCTTGGCTCTTCAACCCTGAGGTCGTGCGAGCATTCCTGGAAGAGGAGGCCTTCCTGCGCCTGTTTGGAGAGGCGGATCTTGAGGAGGAGGAAGAGAGGTACTCTTCAAACTTTTGTTGATCGAATTCGTATTCGATCTCTTCATTCACCCGGATCTTGAATGCCGGTTGCGTCACGACAGCCTCGGCAGCGAGGCTGTTGGCTCCCACTGTGGTCGCCATATTGTTTTCGGAGAAAGTTGCCTTCATTGTCGAATTCATTATAATCTGGATCGCTTACAAAGAATTTAAGATATTCAATAAAAAGAATAAGAAAATGAAAGATTACAACTTTTCGAAAATAACGCAAGATCCGTTCGTCGTTTCTTGCTTGCGTGGGTCTTTAGCCGGTGATGGGGACGTTGATATCCGTGGACTACCTGGCAATCAGATCAGGTCCAGAACTTCGTCGATCCGCGAAGGAATCTAGAAGCAGAAGCGCTTATCTCGACAACAGCGAGATAATTGCTCTTCTTAGAATTACCACAACGGGATAATACTAAGGATCGGATGCGGGTGATGCAGATCTGACGACTCTCGATCTCTTGCGTTGAAGAACTCGATCACTCTTCAATCCGGCAGGGCTTCGCCAATTCTCTAAAACTCCAAATCCGAAAAAAATGAGGACCCGGGGTTGTATTTATAGGCTCCAGGGGGTTTCGGATGGTTAAAACCACCTAACTGACCATTTCTGCATTGGAGACACCCCAGGGTGTCTTAACCTGGGCCGAGACACCTTAGGTGTCTCAGTTTAGCCTGAGACATTTTCGATGCCTGTTTGATCATTTCCGCCGTAACTTCTTCGTCCGAACTCGGATTTGAGCGATTCGAAGTGCGTTGGAAAGCCGACGAAGAGTTCTATAAGCTTTAATGATTGGATCATCTGTGGAATAAATAAGACATGATGGGTATTTCACCGTTTGTGAACGACACGAGGTGCCCGATTAGTCCGTTCCTTTGTTATTCCGACATTCTGTTAGTTCACGTAATTTGTCGGTTTACTTCAAGCATTCACCGACATCAATCAAGCTTCTGTGAACCAGATGGTGACGTTCATCGTCATTTCTTAACACTGAGCCTTTCGTGGAGACCTATAGGCAATTTTCGATGCCTACAGATACCCCTCCAAAGCGTTCCAGACTCGTTTCTTTTGTAGAAGAGGCTGGAATACTTTAGATGTGATTGGTCCAGCCTTCAGTCAGCATAAAGGACCTGTAGTTAGCTTCGATTCTTGACTCCTTCGATTTTTAGTCTACTCGACGCTTTGATGAATAGCTGAAATCCTTCCGGCGCTGCGTTTATCGTCTGGCCGTCGTCGAAGTCTCAAATCTACAACTGATGAGTTGAGTTTGGCTTGTGTCATTGAGTTGACTTTTTGATCACAACGCGTTGACTGGCGTTGACCTAGGGTTACGCGTTGACCGGCGTTGGCCCTAGGGTTTCGAACGTCGTACATTGACTTTTTGATCGCAACGCGTTGACTGGCGTTGACCTAGGGTTACGCGTTGACCGGCATTGACCTTAGGGTTTTGAACCATCGTACGTTGACTTTTGATCGCAACGCGTTGACTGGCGTTGACCTAGGTTTACGCGTTGACCGGTGTTGACCCTAGGGTTTCGAACGTCGTACGTTGACTTTTTGATCGCAACGCGCTGACCGACGTTGACCTAGGGTTACGCGTTGACCGGCGTTGACCTTAGGGTTTTGAATTATCGTACGTTGACTTTTAATCGCAACGCGTTGACTGGCGTTGACCTAGGGTTATGCGTTGACCGGCGTTGACCTTAGGGTTTTGAACCGTCGTACGTTGACTTTTGATCGCAACGCGTTGACCGGCGTTGACCTAGGGTTACGCGTTGACCGGCGTTGACCCTGATCGCAACGCGTTGACCGGCGTTGACCTAGGGTTACGCGTTGACCGGCGTTGACCCTAGGGTTTTGAGTGTTGTACGTTGATTAGTGTTGATTTTGTCGAAACATCCACCAATCGACGAAAACAGGTGAATATGGGCTTCAAAAGGGGATCCGGGGGCTCGAACTGGGCTGAGACACCCGAGGGTGTCTCAACCTTGGCCGAGACACCCTTGGGTGTCTCGGCCAAAACCGAGACACCCTAGGGTGTCTCAGTTCAAAAATCCCCCCCCCTTTTTCTCTTTTTTCCTTTTTTTGTTTTGTTTGTTTCCTCTTTTGTTTTCCCCCTCTTTCCAAATTTTCAAAAAGAGTCCTATTCCCTCTCAAAAACCCTATCTTCTTCCTCCTCTTATCCAAACACCATGGTTTCCCTCTTTGAGAACTCCAAACCCATTGAAACTTTCCCCCTTTAAAACCCTAAAATTCGGATTTTTATGCCCCTCTCTTGGCCAAAAATATTCCCCTCAATCTATGGTTTCCTTCTTCATCTTCAAGCTCAAGTCTTGATTCTTGGAGTTGGGTTTTCAAGCCTCTTGATTTGGGTAAGCTTCTCCTCCAAAAACTCTCTCATTTTTGATAAAGATTGAAACTTTATGCTTGTAATGAGGGTATGCCACGAATTTGTATGCAAAGATCATAGCTTTTTGTTCTCATGAGTTAGAAGATAGGCTCTTTGATGATGGGTTGTGTATGCACAAAGTTTTGGGGGGTCTTATGCAAAAAAATGTAATATGGCCGAAATTAAGGGGCTTTTGTGCAAAAGTGGACTGAAATTTGAGGGTTTTTATGTAAAGTGGGCTGACATTTAGGACTGAAATTTTATCCCCATTTGGCCGAACTTTGAGGAGTGTTTTCGTGCGAAAGAATCAATATTGTTTGAGGGGTTTATTTGTAAAAATCAACCCAAAAAAATATAGAGGGGTTTATTTGCAAAAGGGCTGAAATTTTAGGGCTGAAATTTCAAAAGTTCAGACCACAAACCCATGACTAAAGTTTTGAGAAAGGTATGCGAAAACTAAACCGAAATTTGTGGAGGGGTTTATTTGTAAAATTGGCTAAATTTTACAAAAGGGTTTATTTGTAAACTTAACCAACATTGTGGGATATTGGGGGTGTTATATGGACAAATATGATGATCATGACCCGATTCGAATGTGTCCTTGACTAGAATTTAGCCTTGAACACGAGGGGTATTTTGGGTATTTTACCAAAATTTATCATGAGGGCTTACACCGCAATATGATGATTAATGTTTTGCATGCACGAAATTTGTAGGTTTAATTAGACCTCAACTATAAAATCCTATTTATTCATAGGATTTTAGTTAAAGTTCTTAATTTTCCTTTTAAATTTCGGGTATTCAGATTTATGATTATACCTGACCTGCTGATTTTCATTGCAGATTCTCCATGTCTCCGCGTCGACATCGACTTCATAGGAATCGTTCCCTTTCGCAGCATAGCGAGGGAGAGGTTCCCACGGCCTCTTCTCCAGCGACATCCTCTTTCGGGGGTGAGAATCTATATTTTCTGTATCCCTGATTGATCCCTTCGCGGGTCACTCAGGAAGAACCGACATCCTCCTTCGCGGGGATCGAGGTTTCAGGATATTCGTGGTTCCAGTATACCCTCGTTTGGCCCATTCGTGGGTCATTCGGGAAGGACCGACACCCTCCTTCGCGAGGGTCGAGGTTTCGGGAAACTCGCGGTTCTGTTACACCCTCGTTTGGCCCCTTCGCGGGTCATTCGGGAAGAGCCGACACCCTCCTTCACGGGGGTCGAGGTTTCGGACTTGTTTTGCTTGGCCAATTCAAGTCTTCCGGTATATTAGGGCGATTTTGTGTCATCTTATACTTTGTAGGTCGGTGTATGTTACCACGTTATTTACGTGATGATGCATACCGTTCTTCCAGTGTAAGACACTCAAAATCGTCTCTCCAATTACCCCGTGGATGATCTTATCTCGCTTTTTTATGGATTTAATTCATGGATAATTTTCTGACTCTATCCTTGTTTTGTTGCAGTCGAGTTCCCTATGGGCAGTCTCTCTTCTCATGCTACTACCGGTTGTAGTGGGGAGGTCTTCTCTTCGGTTTCCATCAGGCAGGCTATTGGTCCGCTTTCTCAGTTTGATAAAGATCGTTCCGATGAATCCTGCCGTTTGATATGAGATGGGGACGTTATTGCTTACGCCAGCTGATCACGGATGCTCCTTTTACTGCGGACTCTGTTTCTACTCAGGCTTTAAAGAAGCCCAGTTTTCTGTTCGGAGATCACATTGAGGATCCGGCTAGGTTGATTCTTACTGATGAGCATTGGCTGAATAAAGATGAAGGAGCTCTCCTGTATATTCCTTCCATTCCTCGTCAGCATTCTTTCACTCACTTAAAGAGGCAAGCCATAGAGCGACAGATGTCTTGGAATCTTACAGAAGATGCTGATCGAGTTCATTGTGGATATACCTCCCACCATAAGACTCCTGGTTCTGTTGGGTATCATTATATTCACGGTCTTCGACCAGGGATTCTGGATCTTGATACCACACCCCCAGGCGAGGTATCAGCAGCCGCTCCTACTGTGAAGAATCGTCTGGCTCAGCTTGGGAGGAGGTTACCTCCACCAGATTTCAGATGCTATGGATGGGCTTTCTCGCAACCCAAGGGATGGTGAACACGTATGACCAGTTACGTCTTGGGACGTTGGGAGAATGATCTAAAGAGCAGTGGGTTGTACGCACCTATACGAGCCACTATATATGGATTCTCGGTTAGCTGTCACCACTTCTTGGCATTGTTAGAGACATATATCCCCGATAGTAACACATTTCTGACTAGCGGTGGAGAGTTGGGGCTGGCCTTGCATGAGATGCACCAAGTTTCTGGCCTTCCAATGGGGGATTGTCCGTACCAGGAGTACTTTCCCTCGAACCAGCAATTGGAGTGGCTGAAGAAGGATACTCCCGATATGTACGATACTCTTTGGGACCTCACCTGCCATCTTCCTTTTAAGGAATCGTTCGGCTCGTTCCCCTCGCAGTTTCAAGTCCTTCCAGGTCTTTGGTGGTGCCATTCCCATAGCTTCGAGGATGTCTAATGAAAGATTATTGTGACAAGTCTCGAGGATAAAGTCTTCACTTACCGGATCCCTGCAGTTCATTGCTTTGTTTCGGAATCTCTTCACGAAGTTTTCGACCGTCTCATCATTTTTCTGTTTCTCGTCAAACAGTGTGCCGATTGAAATCTCGGTGTCGTCGTCGAAGAAGTTTGTCAGAAACATGTCCTCCATGTCATCCTAACTGCTGATACTCCCCGGCTTGAGGCGGCGATACCAATCGAAGGCTGCTCCGCGAAGAGTGCCAACGAATGACCGCACCATTAAGGGTTCATTCCCGGAGATTATTCCTAAATAGGACTTAAAATATATCAAGTGTTGGGTTGGGGAACTATAAAACCCCGAAAATTCTATAATAAATATATGTGAATTATTAATAGTGAATAATTCTCTTATGATGAATAATCATGTATATATATCAGATGTATATTTTTTTATCAGTGTTTGGGCACCCAGCAGGTGTATTTAAGTGAGAGAAATCGAGTGTTAAGGCCAGCATGTGAAATGCCTAACAGAGGGCATTTTCGTGCTGAGCGGTCGACCGTGGCGGTCGACCGGTGCGGTCGACCGATCAGCGGACAGAGGGTTTACATGTTTGTTTTCTTTTACGATTTTTGTTTTGGTCTTATTGGGTTTCGGGTCGGGTTAGGGCATTTGTATATGTACTATTTCAACCCAGGAGAGCTTCTCTTCATCTCAGACCTAAAACCCTAGCCCCCATCTCTCTTCTCTCAAAAACCCTAGCTGGACCTGGTGATTTGAGGAGTTCGGAGGAGTTCCAGGGGATTTTCGCAGATTTGAGCGAAGGAGGATCATCTCCAGGGCAGTTGTCAGCATCTAAGGTGAGTATCATCTCGCCCAATCCCTCACCCCTATTTTCTATGGTTTTATTTCGATTTTTCATGAGTTTTTGAAGAGCCCAATAGGTATTTTCGTATAAAAATGAGTTCTTTACATCATGGATTGCAAGAATCGATATTTCAGTTTATGAAAGTTCACCAACGTTTTGTCTAATGAAGATCTAGATCTGAGATTTCTTAAACAAGAGTTTAACCATGTTTTACTGTCATTAAAACGTTTCAATTTGTTTCTCATGTATTTTGAAATATTAGGAATGAGGATTTCATGCTTGAGACTAGTTGTTTTTCTTCCAGAACTTTAGAACACTTGTTATCGTAGAAATTTTGTTTCAGGTTTCGAGCTGATAGAAACCCAGATTTGGGTTTCTGTCCGCTCGGCGGTCGACCGGTGCGGTCGACCGCTGGGCTCGTTTGGGAGCTGCGGTCGACCGCAGAGCCTCATCGGTCGACCACGATGCTCTGTCGGTCGACCGCGAGGTCGCAACGATCGACCGACAGAGCGTATCAGAGAGCGGTCGACCGGTGCGGTCGACCGCCGTTTTCTCTGTTGTATTTTCCCTGTTTTGTACATTTTTGAGTATTTGTTCAGGTTTGAGTGATTTCCTGGACTATCTGACATTGGTAATTAGTCTTACTACGTACCCAGGCATGATAGATGACCTGAGGGTACCAATTGTGGATATATACACTGATTTGATTGTGAAGTGACATAGGTAGATTTCACTATGTATTTCAGCGATATTTTCACCATTTCACAGTCCTCGTGTTGGACTATAATCCATAGAAGTCCTCGTATTGGACTATAATCCATAGAAGTCCTCGTGATGGACTATAATCTATTTCAGACCTCGTGTTGGACATTTGTCACCTATTCCAAGAGTTTGGAAATCACAGTATACAGTTCCTGTTTCGGACATGGTTCTTAACCCTGCATATGACTACCTCACAGAAGTTCACGACATGATGTTGACATGACACTTATGTAAGTAATAACATGATACTCATGTTAGCTATGGTATGGCACTGCAATTGTGCTCTGAGATTTGCTGTATTTCTTTTATTATTATTTTCTGTACTAGAACCTCGGGTTTGGTGTTTAGAGATTTACAATTTAAGATACAAGGTATATACATGAGGGTTTCCTTGTTTGGATTATTTCGCTCGACGTACCTATGCTCGTATTGTAAATTTTTAAATACCAAAACCCTCTTTAGTAAGAGCAATGATTTTAGATCTATTATATACTATCTGTATTTTCTTATACAACGAGCCCTTTTCCCTTGGGGTTGGTTGTGATGTTACTCGCTAGCGCTTTTACGCTCGTTGTCCCTTCCCCTTTCAGGTAACGAGCCAGAATCCCGGAGAGTCGCAGGTTGATGGCGATGCATTTTAGCTTCAGCTGTCTAGTTAGTTATATGTTATTTGGGGCTCCACTTCAGATTTTCTTTTGTGTAAACATTTGAGAGTCTTGTTCTAGGAGTTGTAAAGGCTGTGTGCCTTTATTTCCTCTTGTCAGACATTTGTATTTGAGACTTATTAAGTATTCCAGTTATCTATTCAGACATTGACTATGTATTTCTGTATGTTGGATGATGAGATCTTTATGTGATTTCATTTCATCAGTATTTCTTGTATTATCTTTCACTTGCTTTTGTACCTACACTTGTTGTTGATTCTACTAGATAGATATTAATTATGATGGTGAAACATGTTATTGCACGGTGTGGTGCATGGCAGGTTTGACATTCTTGGTTTTACCTTGGACTGCAGCCTTGTGTGAACCCAGGGGCGTCACAGGAACCCTTCCCATCAAACGGCGTAAAATTGATCAAGTTGAATTTCGCCGGGTATGGAATTGATTCCCACTCCCTTGGATATGGACATGGTATCCCAGACCTTTTCACTTCTTGAGCACTCATCAATGCGTTAATCTTTCTTTCCAAGTCCCTTATTTTCTTATCCTCACTCGTATCTGTTTTCGAGTGATTTCGGGGAGAAGTAACGTGATCCTCCTTTGTGTTGTTATCTTCCAAAGGGCCACCCCCATTATTGTTGTTGACGGGAGGGGTGTTCATGTTGGCATTATCCTCTTCCTGCTCGTTATCATCTTGGTTCGGATTATTGCGACGACTAGACTCCCCTTGGTGAGTTGTTAGTGCCGCGATTTGCTGGTCATGCATTTCTCTCATCTGTTACATGGCCATTTCCATTTCAAACTTGAAATTTTCCTTTTGCTTTGTCAAAGCGTCATCGAGCAACTTAGCCACTTGTTCGGTGCTAATCATAAGTGACTCATAGGGCTGTCCTGTACTTGAAGCGGTGTCATCGGAAGCCATCGCTGAGCAAGCATCCGAGCCGGCATCCGAAGTTTCATCTTCTGAAGGGAGTCCTTTCTGCATTCTTTGATCGAGTCATACGCTGGGATACCTCAGCAAATTGATCTGGGCTAAAGTGTCGTGTCGATTTACCTCTTCCTGTCATATTAACTGACACTTCTAGAAATTCATCATCTTGGCGAACAGGTTTCCTCCTACGAAAATGCCTTGACTTGGTCTTGGACGTTCTGGTAGAAATTCTTTCGAACACCGAAACTCTCCTTGGGGTTTTAGAACAGCAGCATTCTGATTATACCGCCTTGATTATGTTGGCACACGGACAACAAGAATCTGTGTCTCGAACATTTCTCTTTCGAGATTTATCCATACCCCCAGCCCTATAGTACAACTTGTTAGTTTGATAACTGGAGCAACCCATAGAGTGTTGGCACGACTTCCCAGGTATAACACCATCGTCATCAGACGAATACGTTTCCCTCTGGGGATACGACGCTTTATTGGCGTCTTCAAAAGTCGCTCGTTCAAGTTTACGTTTTTGCGAGCGTGAAAACTTAACGGGCTCTTGAACTTCAACCCGCAATCCAATGCGGTCGGTAATAGGGGCTTTCCCTTTGTTATCTTTCTTAGGGGGATTGGTACGACCCCCAGTCCGATTTGTTGTTTGGGGACCTTTCAACGGTCCTAATCGCTCCTTGACAGGTTCTTTACCTCGATCTTCTGGTAAAGGACCGATGCGATCTTTCAAAGGAACTCTGGATCTTGTGGGACCCACGTTCTTACCTGGCTCCGTCGGAAGTGCGGGGACAGGGGAAACAGGATCTGGATTTGAAGAAGGCTGGACGATAACTCCGTCCACTTTTGTCTTAGGTGCTGGTTTTGTCTTTGGCACCCACACATGTTTGTGTCTAGGCGGCTTCTTGACCGTATCTTCTTTCTGCATCTCTTCCGCTTTCTGCAGAAGGACTCGGGCATGCGCGAGCAATGCGCGGAGTTTCTTGATTCATTCTTCGAGAGTGGAGCGAGTCTTCTTAACGCGGACCCATTCATTCGTCTCCGACTTAGAGGAGAGGCTGGCGGTTCGCCGTTGCTGTTCCTGGCGCTGCCTTGATTTCAGGTCCTCAGTGTAGCGGACTCCGTCCATCGACTCTGCAGCCTTGGCCAATTGTCGAGCAAGGCGTTGACGACGTCTTTGGCGCGCCCTCTTCGACAAAGTTGGAGCACCGTTAGCAATTACCTTCACGGCGGAGGGGAGGTCCGGATTTGTAGCTTTGACCTCTTTGGACGCTGCAGGGACGTTGTGGGGCGTGGGTGCAGCAATGGCGAGGGGATCTTGGATCTTCAACCCTGAGGTCCCGTGAACATTCCTGGAAGAGGAAGAATTTCTACGCCTGTTTGGAGAGGCGGATCTGGAGGAGGAGGAAGAGAGGTACTCTTCAAACATCTGTTGATCGAACTCGTATTCGATCTCTTCATTCACCCGGATCTTGAATGCCGGTTGCGTCACAACAGCCTCGGTAGCGAGGCTGTTGGCTCCCACTGTGGTCGCCAGTTTGTTTTCGGAGAAAGTTGCCTTCATTGTCAAATTCATTATAATCTGGATCGCTTACAA